ATCTCAACCCATGAGCCTCCTTCCCTTTTCCTCTTTAATTCTCTTCCCCATTGCCCAGGGGTGGGGGAGGGTGACCAAGCAGCTGTGTGGTGTTTAGTTGCCAGCTGGGTTAAACCACAACAGAGGAGAAGCCGAAAGAAGAAAATCCACTGAAATACCTGTGTTTACCAGGCTGCCTGACCACATGGAAATTATTTTAGGCATTTAAAAATCAAAATCATTTTTTCAATCACTGGTACTGCTGAGCTGGTGTCACAGATGTAGAGGAACCAGATTAGAATGTCCCCAGGCCAGCATCACACATGACTTCAGGCCCAGGCGAAGGGCCTGCTAGCCAGATTCAAAACCATTAACAGTCATTAAAGAAATATTCTTCACCTTGCAAATGTGGAGCAGGGATAATTAATCCCAGTTTTCCTTGACAGGAGAAAGGGTTTCCCCCTTTATTATGCTACATTTGCACGGACCACAGAGAACTATGTCCACATTGACAAGACATTCACTCACCTTTAAGCGTCCTCACATGAACTGGCAGGTCACTCTTCGTACTGTACACATCGTCTCCTGGAGACTGCCGTCTCATCAAGCTTGGGTCATTCTGGACAAGCCAGTCAGCCACTTTGCTCTCTGCTGACATCACTTCTGTATGAGCTGGTTCCTTACTATACGGTCTTCTCTGTCTGAGTGAAAATTTAGTCACATGATCTTTTATCTTTATTTTACCAGGGGTACCATCATCAAATTCAATGGTGAAAGAGGCATGACTCTGTACAACGGGGGCTACTACAGCATCAACATCCTTTGTTGGGATCTCATGGACCTGTGTTTCTGGAGATTTTGATGGCTGCTGAAATTCTTTAGTTGGAATCTCAAAGTAACTTGGCTCTCTCCGGAAGGCGAACACAGACTGTTCTTGGGCATCTCTATAAGAAATATTACCATTCAGTTCCTCTTCATGTTGGGTTATCTCTTTTGATCTTTCTACAAAAGGGGGGAAAAAAAAAAAAAGCAAGAAAACCTTACATTCACAAACATCAGCTGAAATACAAGTTCTGGTTTAGACAGCTTTGTACTGTGGCCTCATCACTGAAATCAGTGCTTACTGCACTGCTGCAGTCTGACCAACATTTGTTACATTCACTTCGTCCTTTCTTCCATTGCTCCCCAAAGCGAGAGCTGAGCACTCACACACACACACACCCCCCATTGTATGTTTTGACAGAGCATATTTGGCTGGTTTTGCTGGATCAACACCTAATTCTGTAACATCACTAAGGATAAAACCACAGGTTTTCAGTAGTGCCCAAACTTCTTGGCTAGAGGGTCACTTTCTTATTTCAGCCTCTTGGGAGGGCTGCTAATCACAGCCCCTCTCTGCTAGAGAACAGAAACGCACGAATGCACGTGCATCGAAATAAACCACTTCTTTGGCAGTAGAGCAGTAGAGCATATGCTTGACAGAAATATCAGGTTTACTGCACAAATGAAAAAGAGGCATCTTTCATGCATACAGATTCACAAGAGGAGTGGTAAGACTAAATAACATCCAAGGATGATGAGGTGAGAAACAGATTGCTTCCACACTAACCAAATCCAGTCAATGCATCAGCTCTTCAAGTGCCTCTTAGATAGGAAACTCCTGGGAGTGGATGGTTTACTCAGGTGGTATGCATACAATCACAGACACAGCACCGCTGTCTCAAACAAGCTTAGCAAGGCCTTTCTCATCCATACTGAATTATTCCACAACTGCTGTTACTAATGTTCAAATATTTTAGAGGAAACATTTTCTTTATTATAGTTTCATCAGCAGCAATCTACACATAGGAATGTGCAAATACAAGCCCCCAAAAAACGTGGTAATTAAAGCCTTGAAGCAGGGTAGCTTCACACAGTAAAGATCAAAAGTGTGCAGAAATTTTGTCTCCCCCATCTTCTCCCACCGCAAATCACCTCCATTACCTGCATAATGTTCCTCTTGCCTTCTGTCCTCCTTGTTATTTGCATCATCTTCCCCCCACCAGGAGGGCTGTCCGTAAAGAGGGGTGCGGTAAGTACTGGTTTCTAGGAAGAGGATAAGCAAACACTTTGACACAGAAAATACCAATTTACCAGGTTCACAGAAGTTGACCACATGCCAAAAAGAGAAAAACAGCAGGGTCTGGTGAGATCATGTACCTATCACATGGCAGTTATAACGACAGCAGATTATACATAATAATTAGTATGTTCAGACTTTTCCTTTTTCCCCCTCTTTTTTCTTTTTTACATTCTGCTGCAAGAAGCTTACTCCAACTCTCTTCGCTGTCTTTCATAGCTGCCTTTCCCAAATACTGGCTTTTCTCCCTTTCTGGCATCATTATTCACAGGAAGTGGAAGACTTTTGGCAGGATGGACAACAAAACAATAACCACAAAATTGTCTGCAACTCACCTGCAATTCAGGTGAAAAATCAGACTTTTGTCCTGATCTTAATTGGGAAGACTTTAGCTTTCCCTTCTCTTGCACCCACCATGTCTTTGGATGTTGTGAGGCCAGGCATTTTTTTCAACTACTCACCACTCCCACTCCAAGTGACACACATCCCACAACAGGAAATTCTTGAAGCATTACAAATTTAGGGAAAATGGTAAAACCACCTCCTTACACATAAATAAAGAAGTAAACTCTTGCTTGCTAAAGCTCAAAGTAAACCAAGTGGACTCCAGAGTTATTGCAGGACAGAGGTTTTTCTCCTGAAGAAGCTTCCCCTAGAAGGGCCAGGCTTCTCTAATTTTCTCTGCTCAGTAAGCACTCACTGGAAGATCAGGGCTTTGCTGCAACAACTGGCACCCAAAGGAGCCAATCCACACTGCTTCTCATTTTGTCTCCCACAAAACAAGACTGTGTTTTGGCAGTGCCTTGGGCTGCTGCTGTTTATGCAACAAGTAAAAAGAATACACCTCAATTTACCTGCGGTATAGTTGTTATGTTTTTATAATAGTTTAAGAGAAGCAAATAAAGCCGCTTTTGTTCTTTCATCTAGAGGTGACAGAAACACAAAGATAGGTCAGGAGCTGAGGTTAAGCTCCAGCTTTGTTAGCTGCTTCTGCCTCTACCCGTAACAGCCATCAGCACACGCTCTACTGGCCACGTCTTAAACCCTGGCTCCAGCTACAGAGCCATAGCCAGGCTTCTACTGCCCGCTGCTGCTCGGCTTGTGGTTTTAAAAACACACTCCGCTCCACGTAAAGCAGCCCTCAAACAGCCCTGCAATTCTGCATTCCCTGCTCTAACACAGACATGACAGAAAATAGTCATTAGCATAAAAGAAGTCAGGAGAGGAAGGGAAATCAAGTCAAAAAGAAGCCAAATTTTATGCTGCTGTTTCTAAAGCTACACAGACCCAATGGCCACTACTTCAGATATTTTTTTCTAGAATAGTTCCAGAGATACATAAGCTCATACATTGACAGTCCACAGGCAAAAATTTGTCTGTAAAGATGCAGCCCACAGGCCCTTTTGAAGAGATCATCTTCGTGTTTCAGAATTAACCACGCTACCTCCCTCCACAGTGAGGATCAAAAGAGGCTGAAATATTTCTCTCCTTTCTGCCGAGAGTGCGTGAAAGACAAACCGCGTTCCCATTATGTAGGCGGCCTTTGAAAGTTCAAAGGAGGAAGCATTTCTCACCATGAATAAATTGGAATTGCCAAGCAGTATGTTTCATAACTGAAGATGGGTAAACCACTCAGAGGAGAGGGGAAGAAAAAAAAAAAAACACACAGAAAAAAAACTATTCACAAGCTTGTCAATGAACAGAGGCACCCAAATGTAGGGTTTGGTCTCTGCCAAACCTCTGTGTGACCTTCTGTCACACAGCCTAGCAGAAACCCACCACCCTCTCTTCAGGCCATGACTTGCCCACTAGACCCCCACACCAACCACGAAGGATCTGCTCTAACAACGTCAGGTACTTCTTTTGGGCACACACTGCAATGGATTATCAGCCTCTGAATTGTGCTATTGATCTCAGGGCTGATGGCCAAGAGGCAGTCAGGGCTGGGAGAAGGAGAACAACACTTTGGGGTGATGGACAAATCCATTAACGATAGCCCTCTATGTCTGGGGTAACTCATGCCTAAAGGTCAACAGGGCATTGTGATAGGCTCAACCCTGAAGAAACACATGAGATTTTGGACACTTGTCTCAGATTAATATGGTCAATTATGAAAGCTCATCAGTGGTTTAATTTAAGTTGCTCATGGAACAAATCCTGAGGATACTACCCTACAGATGAAATGCAAAGACCATCTCACACTTGACTCTTGCACAAGCAGCACCCTTCCCAAGCCTGGGTGCTGTTAGCGCTTGCACCTTGCTAGGAGTGGCCTCATTACAGCTTGTCTCTCCAGGACATCCCAGTCCCTTACAGGATCCCAAAGCCCACCAGTCTAGAAGATTCTAGTCACCTTGTTTCAAGAAAATTTTGTTTTCAAAGGTGCAGAAGTGAGCTAGGAGAGCTCACACCCATTCCGCAGGACAGACTTCTGCCCAGAAGCTGCGCCAGCCCCAAGACCCGTGCCCCACCTGCACACCAAACATAGAAGCCTCTATCCCCCAGGAGCTTTTCTACTATAGGAAAAAGGCAGCTAGTCAACCTTGGTCAGACTTTTTCTGTTGATGGGGAACTTTGAGATTGCAAGGAAAGCTGAAGGAAAAAAAGACGATTTATAAAGAATAATGAGCCAGCTCCTGTGCCTTCTCAAATTTCCCCCTCTACCTTAAAGAGCCCTAATAGGTGCTTGGAAACTCCCAAAATTCCCACTCTGACAAAAGCTAGCACAAAGCAAAAACCCCAGGAGACATCAAGGAGCACCTACAGAGAGCGCATCAGGTTGGCCAGAGCACACAGACCTGGGGCCACCAGGGTGGGAGCTGCTCTGCTGCACTCACTGCACAGCAGCAGAAGGTCTCTCCTGCCCCACAACACGGAGCTCTCGTGGCCCCACCTGCAATTCTCTTGCAGCGTGTGCAACATCTGCTCACTTCTGTGGGTTTTTTTTTCATTCCTTCCCTCTCCCAGCCTCCACAATAAACTGGAACTTCATTTTAAAGACTGCTAAAAGCACAGATGGAAAGCCAATGAGTTAGTATCTTGCTATTTGGAGACAGCTTCAATATTTTAAGAGCAATTAATGTTTCCACTGAGCCTTCATATTAATTTGCATTTTGAACAACATTATCAAGTGACACAAACACCCTCATTCTCGGCTACTGCTGCAAGTGGCCAGATCCTGAGCCAGAGTAAAATTTCATAGAATCACAGAATGGTTAGAGTTGGAAGGGACCTTAAAGATCATCTAGTTCCAACCTGCCTGCCATGGGCAGGGATATACTTCACTACACCAGGTTGCCCAAAGCCTCATCCAACCTGGCCTTGAACACCTCTAGGGACGGGGCATCCATGACTCCTCTGGGCAACCTGGTCCAGTGTTTCACCACCCTCATTGTAAAAAAATTTCTTCCTTATCTAATCTAAATCTACTCTCTTTCAGTTTAAAGCCATCGCCTCTTGTCCTGTCAAGCCATTGCCCCTTGTCCCCTATTTCCCTGGCTTCAGAAGAGCTACATGAATTTGCTGCCCTGCTCATGTCAGAAGCTTCTGTCCCTTCTAATTTGCCAGCACAACCGACCTGACACCACTCCCTGCTCCAGCTCTAACATAACAATATCGTATGAAAGGTGGGGGTGGGGGGAAGCACGATAGACGATAGGAAGGCAGCTAAACCAGATGGTTGTGACAGAAGTGGGCCAGGGAGCAGCCACCTATGCAGCTGTGCCAGGGGAATTTGCTCTTCACCAGCTGGGATGCATTTTGGGTAGTGACCTCAACCTGGACCTGTGGCATCCAGAGCAGGGCATGTGCCTGTGTCCTGAGACACACATATCGCCCTGAAGCCACCGCCTGTCTGTTATATTTTACCGTAAGATGGAAGCTCTTGCAAGAGCAGAGAGACTCAGGGCTTGCCCAAATAATCAGTGAAGCAAGGAACACCAATGAAAACTAACTGCTCAGTCATTTTAACGACATGAGACTTCCTCCAATTGATGGCAGCTCGTTACCACCTCTCTCCACTCCTTGCCAGGCTGCCCAGATGGTGCCAATTCATTTAGACATATTTCTTGGCTCATCAATTCAGACAGACAGCCCGAAAATCATCCTTTTAGATAACTGAATTGAGGTCAGCACAAGCCTTCAGCCTGCTAAATACTGACGTATCGGTGACGGTGTAATATAGGGAAGATCACTGACATGCACGTTCTGCTCCTGGATTTCAGTCTTTGGGGCAGTTTCTGTTCTGTTTTAGGCAGAACAAAGGAGGTCCATTTGTTTAATAAGTCTGACAAGAACGTGGCCTGTTAAATTAGTACAGAACTATTGACCACCTGAAGGACAGGCATTGCAATGAAAGAAAATGAGATGTGTCAATACAAAAGATGTATTTATGGAGAAGTGAATCACACAGAACAACACATGAGCAAAACCAAAAATGCAGTCCAGTTGACAAAAGTGAAAGGAGAAAGCCTGCGTTAATGCTGCTTTCTATGAGCAAGTGGGCAGAAAAGCCTTCATGATGGGCACGCAGCTGCCGCCGCAGAGGGGTTTGATTCCCCTTGAAGGCATCCATCCCCTGTAGTCAGGACAGAACTGGGAGCTGCACTTCGCCCAGGTCCTCACAAAGCTTCAAACTGTCACGAAAGAGACACACTCAGCAACAGCAAATTTCTTTGCTGACAGAAGCACACGCAGCTTTGAAGCTGTCTGCAGCAAGTCATAACAAAAGCATGAGAAACCCAGCTTGCTTTAAGTCAAACTGTTTTTGATTCATTATTAATAACAATAATGTCCATCTTCAGAAGATGCAGAGTAGGCTTCTTACAGCTGAGGTCTTGGAAAAAAAAAAGATGATCTAGCTATAACATTTTAAAATTAATTCCTTACATCTCTGCTTTTTAACTCCTCTCCAAAATAGAGAATTCAGACTTAGTACGAATAACCATAAAGCAATTCTCTGACTCTTTGCTGCAGTATTTATTTTGCACGCATGTGTCAAACCTAAGCCCTGGTCTTTGGTACCTGCTGTGAACATACACAGATCCCAGAGGCTTTCAAATCAGGCTGATAATCACAAATTTATTTGTATCAATTACATGGTCAAACCTTTAACATGCTGCAAGTACCACCACCCTAGCTCAGACAAAAAGCAGATACACCACCGCAGCTCTCCTAAATTAAAGGCTAGGGTAGAGCTGTGCGTCTAAATAGCTATTACCATGATCTCATGGGGAAAGCAGCCAAAGACCATGGAAACCACTTCACAACTAGGCACAACTCCCACTGCCTCGGTCCACACTGCCTGCTGACCTCAGCCCCGGACACCAACAAGACTTTCAAGTCTGCCACCCTGTTGAGAAGGTTCCCTAATGACACGCACGCTAAGCCGGCGAGTGAGCCTATTTCACAGATCCTGGGAGAAGCTCAAGTCCTGCTCCTGCAGCTGGTGATGCCATTTTAGCTGGACGCTGCAGGCAGCCTCCACCCCTGGAAACTCACGCCTGCAGCAGTTATTCAGAGGTTAGTCATCAGATTCACCATTACCTATTGCCATCAGCCTGTGAGGGCTTTAAAAAAATAAATAAATAAAGATCAGCCTGAGGATTAACTATGCATTGAGAACAGAAGATCACAAAGTAGCTTATCTCACCCAGTACCTCAACTCAGGTAGCAACAGACGGGGATTGCCGACAGTCTCAAAATCTGCTCAGCACAAGGCCATACCTGGCCTCTTGATCACTTAAGGCTTTAAACATGAGACCTGACAGCTGCTTTTAGCATTTCGCTGAACTGTGGCCACTTCTCTTATTCATATCCATATCCACCCACAGGGCTTGCCAAGCTCCTTGCCTCAAACATTTCACAAAGACTGATGATTTTCTGCTTACAGGCAACATACACCCAAAAGCTGCAAGTTCAACAGCACAAAGACTAAATGGCTGAGCTGTTTCCCATTCACTCTGCTGGATCTCTTTATCCTCAGCCCCTCACCTCCTCCCATTTCTAAGCAGTTCTAATTGTTCACATTGTTTTATTAAACCTCTTCCCTGAAAGCTTGCATTCCCTCTGTCTCTTTTCCACACGGGCCCTGGGAAGCGATCCTTCTAAAGGCTTTTGTCACCCCAGACCTTGCTTTAATTAGTCAATGCAAATTCCTAAATACCTACCGGCTTAGCAAAACAGCTCTTTTTCCAAAGCCTCTTTCTGATGCCACTCCGAAAGCCCACTTCCCGTACGAATACTACATTCTTCTTTCCACTAATCATTTTAAATTGCTGCCACTCCTCCGAGCAACCAAGGAGAAACTGTGCATGTGTGCAGCTGAAGACAAGGTGAATTAGTCACATCACAGATGAAAAAGGGACCCGCTGATCATTCTGCTCACATGACAGAGATGCTTCTTGGGGAGTGAGGCGCCGATTTAAAGGCTTCTGTCCAATCCAGCAAAATACTTCCAACAAGAAGTCCTGAATTCCTCCATCTTTCAGTGGCATTAGCAGCACTTCACAGATTTTTTTTTCGCATCTGTCCATCAGTACCATTGCACGTGACACACGTCAGCACTGGCCCACACTAAGTTCTCACAGCCCCTTCTGCCTTAGACCTACGGTCTGTGCCCACTGACGATGACAGAAACGCAACGCAGGTCTGTGAACCGCACGCTAGAGAGATGGGTCACCCTGCTGAAGAGTCACGTCCTGATTTTGAAGGTGTTCCAAACATCCATCGCTTACGCTATGTAGGTTAAAACCAACCAGTGTGTGCTTTGGAAGGTGGCAATAAAAATGAGAATGTTTGTGCAACCAGGCAGCAGCAAACACAAACTGGTTCCAATTACCAGCAAACTGGACCAGTTACTGTTAAGGCTTTTCAAGAACTCCATGCCCCTTGAAAGTCAGCTGGAGAGCTTTCCCTGCAGTGAGGTTCACCTCTTCTCACCCTCCACGATGTCGTGGTTAATCACCACCAACTTCATCCCTTTAACCGCATGTCTGTGAGGCAACATCGCAAAGGCCACATCCATGGGGGAGGGCAACACACAGACACAGCTAAAGGAACACAAAGAAAGGTTTAAGGATGTGGAAAATGGGAGTGAGGCACAAGGGTGTGTGTGTGTGTGCTTCCACGCAGTTGGAGGCAACAACGAGACCAAGGAGAAAAATTATGCTGGTTTAGTACTGTGTCAGCTTAGAGGGATTTTCATAAAGACAATACCTAGGAGATTAAGGTCAGCCAACTCACTCCAATTCGTTATCAGGAACCCTTAATGGATTTACCCAAAGTCGTATACATTTCTAGAAAGCTGCTGTATCTAAGTCACCTCACCTAAGGTGCTGTCTCACTCTTACTTCATCCTCTTCCCTCCATTCACTTCCCTGCTCCTTCCTCCAACAGACCCAGTGGGCAGTCTCTCTGCTAACCCTAACACTTTCCACTCACTCTGCCATCCTGCTGCCACCTCTGGCAGTCATCTGTCACTGGGATACTTTAAAACCATATTTGTTCCTCCCATTCACCATCAAGCTCTACAAGGCCACCAACAGATACCTAAGCAGAACAGGGGAGACACCTGCCAGGGCAGTACGTACAGGAGGTAGGAAGTTGGGTGAGATGGGTGAGACAAGACTGCTGGGACGTGTCGACCCACCATGATGGGGAACAGGGAGGAAGCAAGTTTGACAAAGGGTCTTTAAAGGAAGGCAGGGGTGGGTAAAGAAATGGAGAACAGAGGAACTTTTCAAATAGAAAAGGTTTGCAGCTAGGGAACAGCGAACCTGAAGCAAAAGTCTCCCAGTTCAGCAGTTTCAATCCCACACATTGGCGCATTAGGAAATACAGCCAGTTAAGACCATACATACAGGGCTTTCTTGAAAGAAATGGCTCGTTGCTTCTTTGCCTGCCTGCACCACGCCACAGCAGCCATACATTTTCTGCTCTGAGTCATCGACTCTGTTCAAACACCAGCTCACAATTAGGAAATTAAAAATAGACCAGACAGGTGCCAAAGAACTTACCAAACCTGCTTGGCCCACAGGTTCTCCAGCACACACACAGCGACAAGGCATGCGTGAGTCATCATGCCAACTGAGGTTTTTTTTGAAGGCTGAATCTCCAAAAACTGAGAGTCTGGAATACTCAAGAGGTTTAGAAAGATGACCCTTGTAGAACTGCTTCTAGATGCAACCCACGACACCGACACCATACTTGATTGTGACCCAGCACAGGGCTCAAGCTGCACTTTGTTCTGAATCTTGATTAACTGGATCCTGAGCAAGTACCTGTAATTGCTTTCCTCTCTCCTTTCTCCAGCTTTGCCTGTGGGGACTCAGTGTAGACTCCGTGCTCCATGGGCTGCTCCGCCTTCTTCATTGCTGTGCCTTTGTAATTCATCTGAAGTTGGCTGGTGTACTTCTCATGCTGCAGAGACACAAGCAACAGTTGCAGAGTGTCCCTGCGATTGTGTGCCAGCTTATGGAAAAGATAAACCACCCTTCCCCGCAAAGGCAAACACTGTGGCTATGTTCTGTAATAAAAGGGACACCTGAGTAAAGGTTGGAGACCGCAGAAATGCCAGCTCTCAAATACCCTACTTGGAAGACATTGCCAATTCTAGTCCATGAGGTCACTGTGACTTAGCTCTGCAAAACAGCTCATTAGGAAACCCTTCAGAGAGTAAACTAAGAATCAGAACTTAGCCCATTTTCCATTCAGGATTCAAATCCTGAAATCCCTTTTGTTCTTAAAGCAACGTTATAAATTCTTTCAGGGCACTCATTTGCATTATCTCTCTTTTTCAGCAAAGGCAATTAAAATACATTTTAATTCTTTCCCTCCAAACCTCTCACCAGCTAGGAAAGTGATTCTGCCTTAGAACAGGCTCCACATTAACACAGTAAATGAGCTATTTAAAACTGGGTTTATCACAAGTAAATTAATAAAAAGGTGTACCCATCCAGATTTCTCCCAAGTAAGTTCAATGAATTATTCGCCCAATTCTAGCTGTTAGATTTCCAACCCTCTCCAAGTCCTAAACATGGAACCAGGGCTAAGATGACAATATCTGCTAGCCAAGAGGTGATGCTTGGCACTGATGGCCCAATCCCTCATCTAAACATGACAGCTTTCCTGCCTAGAGGGGGTTGCTTTTCTGCCTTAGATGAGAGGATGCTTTAATATTTCGTACCTACTACTGAAATTTTTGTTTAAAAAACATCTCACTCATAAGAGGACTGCTCAGTAAGCAAAAATGGGGAGCTTGAAGGCAAAAAAAAGATGATATACAGGAATAAATCAGGCAACTTTAGCCTGCTGGAGGAAGCATGATGGAGCTGGCCTAAGTCACCATGCTCATAGAAAGGCATCTGTGCTCCACTTCTGGGAGGGAACAAGTTCTGCTGTGCTTCACCCACAAGCTAATTTGCTGACTGTTCTTTAATACACTACTGCTTTAGTAACCTTTTTTGTTGGCAGTCATGAAATCATAAATAACTTCATCTACATGTTAGCACAGGGATAAGAGAGATCAGAGCCAAGATAACCGGGAAACATATCTCTCCTCAAAGGAAGGTTTTGTTAAGTCCCAATCCAAGGAGAGCCTCATGTTGTGGAATGTTTCACTGTCAAGAGTATTTTAATATTTCAGGCTTCTTGACCATTACTAGAGCACTTAAAAGAAAAAATTAAAAAAAAAGAGGCACCTGCATCCAGACATGCTTACCTTTAATGCTTCTTCTGGGACTTTGTGTTGAATTTGCTCCAGGACATACATGTTTGAATGTACGGAACTCATTAAGGAAATTGCAGAGGAAGTGGATGGACTGAGAAGCGTAGCATTTAGTCACAGATGAAAACAAGATCATAAAACAAGAGAAGCTTGTAATACACAGCCTGCACTGCATCCCACCATGGTCTTTGTCATGCATGTTCTGCAACAGAGCACGGAATCACATCTGCTGGCCAGACCTGGGTAGCACAGAAGGGAAGCAGGGCAGCAGAAGCTTGGGCTAGTGCTAACAGCTCTGTGCAGGACTCAGGAGCAATCAGAGCCCTGACTCAACTCACACTTCACTCCTCTCCACAGCTGGTAGCACCAGGCAGACCACTCTCTCCCGTGGTATCCTGGCCAAGATGGGCCAGTCTTGGATGCTTTGGACAAGGGAACAGAAGAGTTCAGCTCCCTGCAGGGATGCCTGGGACTACGGTGTTCTCCTGTCCTGACAAGGCCTTTCAGCCACTGCAGTTTCCTGGATGAAAAGTAAATCAGGTCATGAGCTGCCGTGACCTCTTAGGAAGGGAGGCGTTCAACATGGCTGAGCCTAAGCAATAATCCTCAGCAACACTGTGGAAAAAAAAAAAAAAGCAAGCATCTGGCAATGTCAACATGAACAACCCAATCAGCACAGCACGGAGGAAAGGGGAGGAAAAAGGAAAGATGGAAAATGTTAGACTAAAAATAAACCAAGTGATACTGGCATAGCAGGGAAACTGCGCAGTCTGTAAGTGAAACTGTAAATGGAAGAGACAAACACCCTCATGTACAGTGCACAGCTGACTCGAAGACCTCAGGAGATGCTGCCATCCACATGGAGCTGAACGTGGTGTGCACAGAAAGCACTGCTAGAGAGTGGCACTGAAGCAGCAAAGGAGAGGAAGAGATTGTAACTGCATCAGCAACTATGCTGGAGTAAAAAGACGACTCTCAAACCTACATTCTTCACAGTTCTCCTGTTGAGGGCAGTAAATTCTACAATTCATAAATGCAATCGTTCATTTTGCATGAATATCCATTTAAGGGCTGCAGGACTAAACACTTCAACTCAGCTGCTTAGTGCTCTGAATTGCTTTCTATAAAAAGTTTAAACCTGTATCACAGCCATTAAAACCTATCCACACTCCAGGCACTGGCTTATGCCTTCGCTAGGCTGGAGTTCACAGCAAATCTTCTAAAAGTTTCCTCACACACCTAGAGACCAGAAGAGACATGACCAGCTACATGAAAAAAACACTTGGAGAACTGCAAACTCAAGAAGAGCTAGAACTGAGGTTACCTATGGGACTGTAACAGGCTTCATCACGTGTGCACTGAGTTGCCACCTTTAATGACATGATCCCAGATGACAGTGCTCCTTTATCAGGCAGCACTCAGTAGGGGGCTACTCTGTATTTCCCCCTCCCCATGTATGTCTGAACCCTCACCAACTGCACCTTGTTCAAATACTGATTTTTTTTTTTTTTTTTTTTTTTTAAGATTCAGCAACCACCTCTCTTTAAAAAAAAGAAAAACCACTGTGAAGAAAGGATTTATTTCTAAAACGGCAAGAGGCAGAGTGAGACTTAAGACCAAAAGTATGATCTTACACAAGGTCTAGAAAACCCTCTTCTCCAGCAGATCCAGGATTACACATGCACCAGTTTAAGCATCCCTGTTGCAAGAGTGAGTGCTCCTGCACAGTCGCTGCCTAAAGCCAAGGTTCCCAGATCCCTGGAAGACCAGGGAGGCTCAGCCTCCTCTTGCTGCTTCAGCTCTCTGGGCTCCTGCAAGGTTTGGAGTATTTCAAGGGCTACAGCATGGTCAAGCACAAACTGATTATTATGAGGACAACAAAAGGCACAAGAGGCCTTGGGGTCTAGGATGTACAAGAGTTTTCCAGCCAAACACTTCCTTCCCCTGCAATGGTAAAACTTAGTCTCTGCCTCTATTCTCAGAAACGTCTGGACTGTTTTAACTGAAATTTCCCCACAAAAGAAAAAAGAAGCTTAGAGAAGATGTTTGCTACTTCTAAATTCAGCCTGAGTGGGTAAAGTTTGGCAGACAGAAGCAACTGAAAAAAAGTAAAAAAAAAGCATGAAAAAGCATCAATAAGAGCCTTTACTTACCACTGTTGCTCTGTAGGCTCAGAAAGGCATTCCAATATCTATTCTTATAGCCAGTCATACATATCACATCAGGACAAAAAAGAAAGAGATGAAGGCAAAGGTGTTTTAGCAGACACTAGCAGCATTTGTGACTCTGTAAACAAAGCAGTAACTGCAGCCTAGCCTCCCTTGATAGAGGTGAAATTTGCTATTGCTAAAGAGAGATTTACTCTTGCATTTTGTGGCAGGAGCAATTTGCACAAGCAAACTTCAGTCGATACAGACTCAGGGGCCTGACCACAAGCCCCAAAGCTAAACGTG